CGTCCTGCCGTCGGGAAACACGGCATCCAAGAAACCATCGCCTCCTTTCGTCAGTGTTCCCCGCTCCTCCCTGTCTGCGAACTTCATCACCATGCACATCGGCTCGGAGTTGAAATCGAAATACGTGGCCAGGGGATCCTGGGGCGGGTCTCTCACTTGCCCCTCCCGAGCTCCCCTCCCGAAGGGGTTCGGTTACGCCGTGAAAAATCAAAACTGCCCCCCTCCCCCTCCCACCCTGCCCGCCCCCTCCGATCCTCCTTCGGGGCCGCGGCGGGCGGGTCAGCGAGCTCGACGTCCTCCTGCGACGAGAACACCACCATCGGGCTCCACGTGGCAACCTTCTGTTTCTTCCCTGCCGGTTTCGGAGGCGGGCTGATGCCGAAGGCGTTCTTGATGACATTGCGCCTGCTGCCCCCATCTGCGCTGGACGACGCGGCGGCCGTGGAAGATTTTGGAGGGTTCATCTCTATGTCGGAGCTGCTGTCGGCGCGTTTTTTGCTCTCTCCTGTGCTTGGGCTTGCCCTGCTAGGCTGCAGCCCCATTGCCACCCCAAGCATTTTTGTGTGCGCCTCCAGCTTCCCCCCCGTCTTGGCGATGTAGAACTTGTTGCAAACATGGCTGAAAGCGTTGGCCACCTCCTGGCAGAAACGCCTACACTCTTCCTGGTGCATGTTCGGCTTCTGCTTCAACACGACGTCCTGGAGGTTCTTCCATTTGACGCGTGTGGTGAGCTGCGCAAGCGGCAAGAGAAACGGCATGTTGTTCTTCATGAAGTCATCTATGCCCCCTTGCAGTTGGCATTTTTCGATGAGATCAATGTGCTGTTTCACGAGCGGCTTCAACTGTTCCTCAGTCACAGAAGAAGCCCGTATCTTCACCTCCGTCTTGCCCTTGACCATTGCCCACCCCCCGCGCAGTGCGCGCAAGCAAGAGTAGCGCTATGTGCCCTCGAGCCTTCGCAGCTGCGGGATGTTGTAACATGCGCGCAATGTGATGCAGCCGATACCCCTCGCTCAGGGGACGCATGCCCCCTCACTCAGGGGATCCTTAACAATGCGCGAGCGAAGAAAAGTACGACCTGGCCAAAAATCATGGGTTGGACTATAGTGCGACCCAAGGAAAGTGCCAGGTCGATCTAGTTCGACCCCGCACTATAGATCGACCTTGGAGTCCCCGGGCGGGGTCAGTCCGGGGTCAGTCCGGGGTCAGTCCAGGGCCAGTCCGGGGTCAGTCCGGGGTCAGTCCGGGGTCAGTCCGGGCTCAGTCCGGGCTCAGTCCGGGGTCGGTCCAGCTCCGGGGTCAGTCCGGGGTCAGTCCGGGGTCAGTCCGGGGTCAGTCCGTCCGTTGTCAGTCCGTCCGGGGTCAGTCCGGGGTCGGTCCGGGGTCAGTCCTGGTTAGTCCGAGGTCGTCCGGGGTCATCCTTGGTCCAGTCCGGGGTCAGTCCGGGGTCAGTCGGGGTCATCCGGGGTCAGTCCGGGTCAAGTCCGGAGTCAGTCCGGGGTCAGTTTTTTTTCCCGGGATCAGTCAATGTCAGGTAGATTGGTCACGTCACCGTGGTCCTGTCCCGAATCATCCGGGGTCAGTCGGGTTCAGTCGGGTCATCCGGGTCAGTCGTGGTCAGTCCGGGGTCAGTCCGGGGTCAGTCCGGGGTCAGTTCGGGGTCAGTCCGGGGTCAGTCCGGGGTCAGTCCAGGGTCGTCAGTCCGGGGTCACTCCGGGGTCAGTCCGGGGTCAGTCCGGGGTCCGGGGTCAGTCCGGGGTCAGTCCGGGGTCAGTCCGGGGTCAGTCCGGGGTCAGTTTGGGGTCAGTGTGGGGTCAGTCTGGGGTCAGTCTGGGGTCAGTCCGGGGTCAGTCCAGGGTCTCCGGGGTCAGTCCCGGGTCGTCGGGGGTCGCCGAGTCGTCCGTGGTCGGTCAGGAGTCGGTCCGGGGTCAGTCGGCCTCGGGGTCCGTCCTGGTCAGTCCGGGTCAGTCCGGGTCCGTCGTCGTTCCGTGTCGTTCCGTAGTCGTTCCGGGGTCGGTCCAGGGTCAGTCCGGGGTCAGTGCGGGGTCAGTCCGGTGTCAGTCAGGGGTCAGTCTGGGGTCAGTCCGGGGTCAGTCCGGGGTCAGTCCGGGGTCAGTCCGGGGTCAGTCCAGGGTCAGTCCGGGGTCATTCCGGGGTCAGTCCGGGGTCAGTCCGGGGTCAGTCCAGGGTCAGTCCGGGGTCAGTCCGGGGTCAGTCCGGGGTCAGTCGGGGGTCAGTCCAGGATCAGTCCGGGGTCAGTCCGGGGCTAATTTATTCCCGAGGAATCCCGTGGGTCAGTCCCCGGGGTCAGTCCAGGGTGCATATCAGGTCCCCCGGGGGCAGTCCGGGTCAAGGAGTGGCGAATCAGTCGGTCAGTCCGGGGTCAGTCCGGGGTCAGTCCCGGGGTCAGTCCGGGGTCAGTCCGGGGTCAGTCGGGGGTCAGGTCCGGGGTCAGTCCGGGTCAGTCCGGGTCTCCGGGAACTGTCCGGCTCATCCGGCCTCAGTCCGGGTCGGTCCAGGGTCAGTCCGCGGAGCCAGTCCGGGGTCAGTCCGGGGTCAGTCCGGGGTCAGTCCGTCCGTTGTCAGTCCGTCCGGGGTCAGTCCGGGGTCGGTCCGGGGTCAGTCCGGGGTCAGTCCGGGGTCAGTCCGGGGTCAGTCCGGGGTCAGTCCGGAGTCAGTCCGGGGTCAGTCCGGGGTCAGTCCGGGTCAGTCCGGGGTCAGTCCAGGGGTCAGTCCAGGGTCAGTCCGAGGTCAGTCCGAGGTCAGTCTGGGGTCAGTCCGGGGTCAGTCCGGGGTCATCCCCGGGTTCATCCGGGGTCAGGGGTCAGTTCCAGGTCAGTCCGTGGTCCGCGGGGTCGGTCCGGGGTCCGGTCCGGGGTCGGTCGGGGGTCGGTCCGGGGTCGGTCCGGGGTCGGTCCGGGGTCGGTCCGGGGTCAGTCCGGGGTCAGTCCGGGGTCAGTCCGGGGTCAGTCCGGGGTCAGTTCGGGGTCAGTCCGGGGTCAGTCCGGGGTCAGTCCGGGGTCAGTCAGTCCGGGGTCAGTCCGGGGTCAGTCCGGGGTCAGTCCGGGGTCAGTCCGGGGTCAGTCCGGGGTCAGTCCGAGGTCAGTCCGGGGTCAGTCCGGGGCCAGTCCGGGGTCAGTCCGGGGTCAGTCCGGGGCCAGTCCGGGGTCAGTCCGGGGTCAGTCCGGGGTCAGTCCGGGGTCAGTCCGGGGTCAGTCCGGGGTCAGTCCGGGTCAGTCCGGGCAGTCCGAGGGTCCGGGGTCAGTCCGGGGTCAGTCCGGGGTCAGTCCGGGGTCAGTCCGGGGTCAGTCCGGGGTCAGTCCGGGGTCGGTCCGGGGTCGGTCCGGGGTCGGTCCGGGGTCGGTCCGGGGTCAGTCGGGGGTCGGTCGGGGTCGGTCCGGGGTCAGTCCGGGGTCAGTCCGGGGTCAGTCTGGGGTCAGTCCGGGGTCAGTCCGGGGTCAGTCCGGGGTCAGTCCGGGCTCCGTGCGGGGTCCGTATGGGCCGGGGTCAGTCCGGGGTTGGTCCAGGGTCGGATCCGGGGTTTGCCTGAGGTCTGTCCAGGGTCTGTCCGGGGTCAGTCTGGGGCCAGCCTGGGTCAGTCCCGGAGTGACCTGCAGGATTGACCGTGCAGACCGACCCTTGAATGACCCGTGTGTATATGGAGCCTGGTCGGATCGAATTCGACGCAGCCGAGCCGACCGCCACATTAGGTGCACGCGTATGTGGGAGCGCCCGAATGGCAAGGAGAGCGGAGAGTATTTTAATGCATGGGAAATGAAAATGCAAGCGGGCCGATCTAGTTTTCGGAATTGCAGAAGTCGGGGACCGAAACTTCCGATCTAGTTTAGCCGAGACCTAATTTCACCGATTCTATTTTTAACGAGCGGAGTGTACATGGTCTGCCCGGTGCTCCGCGGCGCTGTCACAGCACCTGCTGAGCCGAGTGAGGTGGGCTGCGGCACCGTTTTCCACGGGCTCGGCCACCAGCGCGAGCATGCCGTGCGCCCGCGAATGGTCTGCGTTCGTGCGGCGGTGTTGGCCACGCAGCTCCTCCATATTCTGAAGTGGCGGGCTGATTGCATCCTGCCCATCCACGCCGCTGCCGTCGCCGCCGCCTGCGTCGCAGCATCGCATTGCCTACAGGCCTAGAGTAGCACCGTCGGCACCCGCTCCGCCGAGCTTCGTGCCCTCCTCCTCCTCCTCCGCCATTTCTGGATGAACAATCGTGCGAGATAAACCGAGAAACGTCCGAGGGCCGTGCGGGTTTCTCGGAGCGGCGATGTGCCCCTTCCTTGCACGCCCTTGGCGGCGCCTCCGAGGCACTTCCGCACGCGCCAGGGAAGGTCCGCCTGCCTGTTTGTGTGGAGGTGTGCCAAAAGCTGCCGGGGCGCACCCGCGTGGATCTCGGACAGTCTATGTTAGTATTTCCTTGTCTTCTTCTATCCTCCTCCTCTTCCTCCTCCTCTCGCAGGCGGTTCTTGTTTCTCCAGTCCCCCTCCCCCTAATCCCCGGGTTCCGCCCGAGAACTTCTTCGGCCACTCAACAAAGGTAGGTTTCTCTGGGATGCGCCCCAAGGGGGCTATTCGGACGCACCCCTATCGAGGACGGGCGCCCTCCCAGCGTATATTTCAGGGGTGGGCGCCACAAGTGTTGGTCCATTCGAGAGCCCCACGAGGCCAAGGATATAAGTCGACATATCCCCTGTCATCTGCGGTCGAGCATCGTATCAAGAAGCCTCCTCCCAGACAGGTGCCAGCGATTCTTGACCAACTTGCCAGAAACCTGGGCCAGCTTCTTGAGCGCGTTCACCCCTCCAGCGTTGACAAAAGAAGGTGGCCCAGGCTTGCTTCAAGAAGCGTTCGGAAAGCTGGCCCAGATTTCTTACATGAGAATATCCTTCATCATCTGTTCGGCTGGATGCTTGTATTTCGTTAAGTTATTCTATATTCCTCCTCCTCCTCCTCCTCCTCCTCCTCCGCCTCCTCCTCCTCCTCCTCCTCCTCCTCCTCCTCCTCCTCTTCCGCCCCCCAAGAACTCCGACGTTTTGTCTTGCTCGATGCCGTTTTTTTTCCCGGGTAGAGGGCGGCACCGTGCCTCTTCCGCGGGCACGCCGTGGCCCGGATGGCCAACGAGGGAGCGCCCCCCTGCTGCTGGCGGAGGCCTGCCTCTCTCTCTCTCTCTCCCTTCCCTGCCCTTCCCTTCCCTCCTGCCCTTCCCTTCCCTCCTGCCCTTCCCTTCCCTCCTGCCCTTCCCTTCCCTCCTGCCCTTCCCTTCCCTCCTGCCCTTCCCTTCCCTCCTGCCCTTCCCTTCCCTTCCCTGCCCTTCCCTTCCCTCCTGCCCTTCCCTTCCCTTCCCTGCCCTTCCCTTCCCTTCCCTTCCCTTCCCTTCCCTTGGGTCAAGAACGTCTCGGGACATCGACTGCGAATCGGATCGAGTATCCACGTCGGATCAAGTCCGACCGATGGCCCAAGGCTCTCAACAAGGCCGAACAGCTCGCTCGCAAGCGTTCGTAGTTCACTTCCGACTCGTATCGCGACTGTTCTCATTCATTCGCTCCCCCCCAGACGTCCAATGAATTGAAATATCAATCCGGACGTGGTTCGCCGTTTTCGGCTTCTGGAGGCCCTCACCGGACCGCGGGGTCGTCAACCAGCTCTTCAGGATGAAAAGACGGCCATGGGGCAAGGGCTCCGGCTTCCAGGTGCCCGCATTGAAAGTTCAAGACATCGGTTCTTTGGATCCTCTAACTCTTTGTTCCTTCCTCGTGGCATCGGTTCGGCACGGCTCGAGGTGGGTCCAGACGGACGGTGAGAGGGATCTAGGGGATCGGCCGATGAGAGCCGAGATGCGGTGGAGGAGTAGGGGAGGGGCGAGGAGGGGCAGTGTCGGGGGGCACGGCTTCGTGAGTTCTTGATGATGTTCCACGGCGCTCCACGGCGCTCCAGGGGTCTCCAGGGTTCTGGAGAGACCAGGCAGGTCCCGAGAACCCCCCAGAGGCTCTCATCCCTCACCATCGAAACTTCTTGGCCACTTTCGAATCTCCCTCATCCTTCTCCTTCTCCTACTCCTCCTTCCTTCTCAGCTTTCCTCCTTTATCCTCATTCCCCCGTTCTTATCCCTTCTGCTTCTGCTTTTCCTTTCTCCTTCCTCCCGCGACTGCTCGGTCTTCTACTCCTCCCTCCGATCCTCTCCCTCACCCCCTCTCCCCGTTCGCGCTCTTGCGTGGGATATGGAAGTAGGACGAGGGAGGATCAGAAGGAGGAGGAGGATCAGGATTTGGAGAACTATGACAATTATGATTAGTACGATGATGGTGCTGATGCTGAACATGATGATGGGTGGCTGTGGTGGTGATGATGCTGACGCTGCTGCTGATGATGCTGGTGCTTATCCTGGTAATGACAATGTTGCTAATGCTGATGATGATGTTGCTGCTGAAGCTAATGATGATGATGATTCCGATGATGATGATGATGATGATGGTGATGATGATGATGCTGATGATGATGCTGCTGATGATGATGATGCTGATTATGATGCTGATGATGATGCTGATGCTTTTGCTGATGATGCTGCTGATGATGATGCTGATGATGATGATGGTGATGATGATGATGATGATGATGATGATGATGATGATGATGATGATGATGATGATGATGATGATGATGATGATGATGATGATGATGTCGCTGATGAAGATAATGATGCTGCCGCTGATAATGCTGATGATGCTGATTATGATGACGATGATACTGACGATGATGCTTATGATGCTGCTGCTGATGATGAGGATGATGATAAGGATGAGTATGAGGATGAGGATGCCGATAACGATGTCGCTGATGATGACATCGACGACACTGATGATCATGACAGTGGTGATGATGGCGATCATGATGCTGGTTATGCTGGTGATGTTGGCGGTTGGGCCATGAGGCAATGAGGCTGATGGTGAAAATGGTGATGATGCTGAAGTCGCTGCTGATGATGAGGAGGAAGAGTGAAGGAAGCGGAGGCCTTCCTCCCCGGAGCCCTCCGCACATCCCCCCCCGGGGTCTCCTCATGGACAGACCTCTGGGGGCCTCCGACGCTGCCCCCGAGGCCGGTCGCGGTGACGGCGACGGAGGCGACGATGACGACGGCAACCTCCGTTTCCGCCTTGCCCTGCCCCTCCGTCTCCCCGCCTCTCTTCCCTGTCTCCCTCCCTCCCTGTCTCCCACCCTGTCTCCCTCCCTCCCTCTCCCCTTCCGTCCTCCCTGCGGTGCCCGCCGCCCTGAGGGCCTCGCCCCTGGGGCTGGCAACAGCGCGCCCCGATCGCGGGAGTGGGCGCGTGATCTCGGGCAAGTCACCGCCCGTTCTCGAGCTCTTTCTATGTAACATCTGTGCGCGTTCCTCCGCGAAGGAGCGGCCCGAGGCCCGGGGCTGCGCTCCCGCACCGGCAGGGTCCATGTCGATCCGACCGACCTCGGGCTAGATGTCGATTCCGGCCGGCCCGATCCGATGCGATTCCGATGCGATCCGATGCGACCCGAGTCGGACCGGGCTAGGACGGGGATAGAACCGTTCCACAGCGTTCTGGAAGGCTCTCAGAGCATGTCGGAAAGCTCTCAGAAGGCCTTGCGCCCGAAACATACATCCTCCAGATACGCCCGCACTCAGAGATTCAGGATTTATCCTCACCCGATGTTATCCTCGTCCTGGTTTCGTCTTACAGGTGCTTGCATGGCGCTGTTGTGTATCGTGGCGCAGCCGATGCGATTCGATTTCGATTCCGTGCCCATGCAGCCTGATCCGATGCACATTTTGATTCGATCCGATTTGCCGATTCGATGCTGACTGACCCTGCGCTGGAGGCTGCTGAGCTATTCTGGTCCTCCTCTGGGTAAGCTTAGAACGACCAGGATCGTAGCGTCAGGATCGTGAAAAGGCTCTACCACACGTAGGAGTGACCTTTCGCCGGAGTGACCCTTGGTGGGGGCCCACTCGGGTCCCCCGATCGCCGAGTGCGATGCGATAGTTGCGTCTTGCGCGCTTGGGTTTGGCCCCCCGCGGCTCCCCGAGCGCCGCGCACCAAAGGCCACTCTCGCCTAGGGCCACTCCGGCGTGTAGCCGTCAGGCGGCAGAGCCAAAGTGGTACCTTTCTTGGGGGCTGTGGCCCACACCTCAGGCCTATGGGCGACCGCAGCTGGAACACGGAAGGCAACAGAGAGACTGAGGAAAAGAGCAACCATGCGCTGCATTTTTTCACCACGGGCATTTTCGCTCTTCTCCAGGCCACGGGACCATCACGTTTCGATCCGACTCGGAAAATGCCGCAGAGAGGATTGGGTCTAGGTCTCCGGCTTTGATTGTCACGGTGCTGCTCTTTTTCGCAACGTCGGATCTTAGGGAGGCATTTGCGGCCTCAGGCTTCTGGACGTTTCTGTTTGCTTCGGGGCCTCAGAGGCATCCAGGGACCTGGGGGCTCTCGCAGGGGATCGGCGGCGAAATCCGAACCCTGCCCTCGCCGATCAACGATTCAGGCAACTCGATGGGCGATGGGGGTAGGGCTCGGAATTCGTCGAGCACGTGGCGAACTCCGAAGCCTGCCCCTGCCCCCCATCGGTTCAGGAGAATCGACGGTTGGTGGGCGTAGGGTTCGGATGTTGCCACCTAGGAGGCCCCATGGAGGCCTCGGTCTGGGGACCTCCAGCCCTCCTGGAGACTACCTCGAGGCGCTCGAAGCTGCGGACAAGTTCGCGCCGGTGCGCCGATCCCCCAGTCGTTCTGCCCCCCTCCGTCTGCTGGTGAGGGCGAACAAATCATCAAGAGGCAAGAGAGAGAGAGAGAAGTGGAAGACGACGGCTCGGCCGATTGATGAAGATCTGTGGCTTGCGTCTTGGGGAGGGCGCCGCGGGCACCAGCGCAAGCGCCGCCTCGGGCGCGGTGGGCTCGCCGTGGGGTTTGCCGTGGTGCTTGTTTGCTGTGGGTTTGCCGTGGTGTCGGGGTCGTCCACCTGGGCGCGTCGAGAACAAACTGCGCGGCGACATGTGCAACTGCAGGACGGGAGCCAGAGACCACCTCCTGCTCCTCGTCCCTAGTGTGGGCCCCCTCGTCGTCGCAGCCGGGCGCGGCCTGGAGCGCGGTCAGGACAGTGCCTAGGCACTCTGGAGAGGACAGTAATCTTAGAGAGTCCAGGTTTCGTTAGGGGCTGGTCTGCAGATGAGGGAATGTCCATATCGCCTTCCTTCGCCCGTTTCCCCCTTTTTCGGCCTCTTGGGCAGCCCTCGTCGCCACGGTTGGATTCGCCCCGACTTTCTGGTCAGAGTGCGCCACAGAAGAGGTCTGGGGAGTAGCGGTATCGATACATTTTGGTTTCCCCAGGTTTTTCTTGGTCGAACCCTCCCGAAACCTTCCGAAGAGCCTCCACCGGAAGGGCTTCCTAGGAGGCTATTCGGATGGTTTTGGGGCGGTTTCGAGGGGGGCTCGGTCGTTTGGGGGGAAACCAGTCCAGAGCGAAACCTGGACTTTCTAACAATAATCGCGCCCCCCCCCGGATCCGCGGTGGGGGGGAGGGGCACGTGCTGTCGGAACGTGTGGAAGGAGGGTTTGGAAGAGGAGGAGGAGGAGGAGAAGTAGGAGGAAGGGATGGGGGAGGGGGGGGAAGGGCAAGCTCCGTCGGAAGATGAGTCACCAGCCTGTGGTGAGAAGCAGGTTCACACGACGTTGCGAAAGCGATGTGCACGTGAATTGGTATGCTTATGCTCTTTCTGTTGTTTCAGTGTGGTCGCCCTCGCAATCACGCACCTCAGCGTTGTGCATTGGTTTGTATATGACATATTTCCTTGTCTGTAGCTCAGCCCAGCTTGAGCACCCCCCTTGATATTTACCCCATTCGAGTAAGAGCCAGTGAGGCCGTATCTGAGAGGTGTTGCAAGACGGGCGATCTATCTGCGTAAGCATGGGCTTTCGGAGGTTTGCGCGGAGACGCTGTGCGGATTTCTGTGGTCTCCGCCTGGACCTCCCAAAGTTGGTGCTCGTGCCGTTCTTTGTTTCACACGTGCGGTCAGGGATTTTTTCTTGGCGTGTCGCGCCGCCGGTTTCTGGCCCACGGCGCCTTGGCACGCTGTCCATGTCCCAGTCCCAAAGCGTCAACGTCCCGAGCCTTTCCCAGCTTCCCGCCGTGCGAAGCGGAGCGACGCGCTGTCCGCTGGCAAGGCATAGCGTGTCGCGGGGGCAAGCGCCGCGACACGCTAAGCAATAGTTCCTGACCATGGATCCCCCACCCTGCACCCTGCCAAATTGAGTAGCACATTTCCTTTTTTGGGGGGTTCTCGAGAGGGTGCTGCAGCCGCTTATTTTTGTCGGGCCTGTGCCCGCTGGGTCTTGCCCCGGGTCGTTTTCTCTGAAGGGTGTTTTTCTCAAGGGGCTCCTGCCCACCCCGGGTCAAACTTCCGACCATTTTCGGATGTCGTCGGACGTTCTCCGCAGGTTTCGAAGGCTTTCGCGTGCTCCAAGAGGCTCGCAGAGGTCCGGGGGGGGTTCTGAATACCCTGTGGCGGCATTCGGCTGGCGCCAGCGGGGCGCTCCGTCGTCTGGCCACATTGCGCTGAAGGGCGCACGTGGCTTCCAGAGCACCCCTCACGAGGCCCATGGGCCTCGTGGGCTCCAAGATGGCGCGAGACGCCGGGGACGCCTCACCTTGGGCAACCCCCGAGAGGGGGCTGGCCTTTCGAGTCCGCCCCGGGCCGATTGCCGGCGGGGCCTCCTGCGGGCATCCGAGAGAAGCTCATGACCTCCAGGGCGCAGCCCCTCGGCCTCGGCCAGGGACGAGTTTTCCGCTGGGCCGGGAGTTACCCGGCCGGTTGGCGCAGTAGATCGCCTGGCCGCGCGCAGCTCCCAGCTCGGGTTGGCAGCAGGCGCGCGCGCGCCACGCACTAGGTAGAGGTTGCATCGTTGTCCTGGCATCGCTACGCCTCTGCACCCTCACCGTTTTCCTTGCCCCCCCCCTTTGGCGGTGCATTTATGCAAGAATGTTCCTCCTTCTGCAGTGCGTTGGCTGAAGATTGCGACCATTTACTGCCTATGCGGGCGTTTTGTAGGCACGGTTCAGATTACGTGCAGGTGGCCCTTCGTCAGGCACGGGCAAGTAGTCTTGTGCTTGAGTCATATTGTGCGCCGTCGATTCCGATTGTTAAACAACCCGTCGATCTAATCCTGGCCTTGCGTGTCTGAGCGAATTTGAGGGAAGCTGGCTGGGTGCCGCAATGACTTCTAGGACATAGAACGCCGCTGTTGGGAGGAACATGTTGACGCTGGCTTCTTCGCTTCTTCAGGCCGAGGCATGTTCCTGCAGTGTTGGCCCTGGCTCCAGGTGGCCTCAGCGAGTGTCTACGGGAAGGACAACCGAGGTCTGACCAAACTGTGCCTCCGAGGCTCCAGCTGGAATTTCTGTTTCCGGGTGCGACCACAGTTGGCCCTGGCTCAAGGTGGCCCCCACGACTCCAAGGTGGCCCAGATGTCGTGGACGAAGAACATATCCGTCAGACCCCTCGGATACATGGCTTTTTGTTCGCGGATGTCCCGCGTGGAACGTAACCGTGCGACCGCGTATCCGCGGGTCACGCCCTGGAGTCTAGACCGCGAGGGCCGGGATAAGGCTCTGCTTGCCGCTCGTGAAGATAGCCTCGGGAGTACCCCTCATGAGGCCCAGAGGGCCCCAGGGATACCAACATGGCACGGGAGGCTGGGGGCACCCTGGGCCAGGAGCACCCCCGAGCAACCTCCAGTGCGTGGGGGGGCCTTTGTTGGAGGCGCACAGAGAGGGGGTGGGGCGGGGGGGGGGGGCGGTTTCCTATGAATGAAGGGGGCACAGTCAAGTCGCATAGGAAGGATGAGCAATTTTCCAAGGCTGCCCTCGAATTCTTGACCCTTGAGCCCATCCTTTGCGACTTTCGCTGGCCAACCCTGGTCGACAACGACGACATGACCCTCCAAGGCCGCTGCATCCTTACCGTGTATCCTTCTGATGCGACTTGGCTGCACATGAGAATCAGAAGCCCTCCCACCTCCCAAGGCGCCTTCATGGAGGTCTCCGGCCCCTCCAAATGAGCTCACCCCCGGCCTTCTCAGGAGGCCGCCCCCCCCCCCCCCCCCCCCCCTGTTTCCACCCCCCGCTGGTGCGCGCCGCGGGCTCTCGGGGGCCTCGGCATCTGGCGGCCTGCTCGGCATCCCCGGGGCCGTGTGGGGGGAGTCGCTGGGCCTCGAAAGAGGTCATGGCCGCGTCCAGACCGAAATCCATCGCCGAGTCTGAGTCCATCGCCGATGCGTTTGTGCCTGTGTGTCGAGCTTCGTGCGCCCACTGCCGAAGCTCCGTGTCCGTGCGTGTCGGCGAGTGCATCATAGGGCCACACCCCAAGTGCGCGCGGAAGCGCCCCAGACCGCTGAGAACTCTGGGCTCTGGGCCCGTTGAAGGCGCATGTTCAGTACGCAATGCAGAGAGGTGGGAGAGACCAGGCGGCCCTCGACGCAGTTCCTTGCGGCACGGTGGCAGATCTTGCGCTGGAGAGGACAAGCTAGCGAGGGGGGGGAGCAGGAGCGAGAGTAGGAACAACATGAGGGAGAAACGACACTCATACTTGTATATAGGAGGGGGAGGCGAAGGAGGAGGGAGAGGAGGGGGAGGAGGAGGAGGAGGAGGAGGAGGATATACAGGAGAGTGGAGAATATATCATAATAGAACATCACACTTGTCAAGATCACCTCGCACATGTCGAGACTGACAGCATATATTCAAGGAGTTGAGCATCACTTTTATCACGGGAATAGGCGTGCGGACGAGTGGACCAGAAAGTGAGCAAAGGCGCACCCGATGAACTACCATGTCAGAGACAAGATGAAGCATCATCGCGACCAGGTCTCCTTCCTGGCCAGGTACATGACAGACGTGTTGTAGAATGTGCACAGGTTGGGGTACCAAAACGTCGAGGTGATCAAAGGGCGTAGGCAGAGAGCCCCCGTTAATTCAGAGCCCCCCCTGCTAGTTTTAGTTCCAGGCGTTAAGGGTCACCGTGTCACACACACACACGTACACACACACACGCACGCACGCACGCACGCACGCACGCACGCACGCACGCACGCACACACACACACACACTCACACACACACACACACCCACGCACCCACGCACCCACGCACCCACGCACCCACGCACGCACGCACGCACGCACGCACGCACGCACGCACGCACGCACGCACGCACGCACGCACGCACACACACACACATTCACATTCACATTCACATTCACATTCACATTCACATTCACATTCACATTCACATTCACATTCACATTCACATTCACATTCGCATTCACATTCACATTCACATTCACATTCACATTCACATTCACATTCA